CTCAGCTAGCACCTCCACATACGAACAGCAGTACAGCAAAAGTTACAGATATTTCAACAACTGAAAGGAATAGGATGGGGAAAATCAAACAACACTTTTCTGACACTGAAATTCTGTAAACCAATATGACTCTATGGTCCACGATAAAGGGGAAAGGACGGTCCTACATGTGTCCTGCACGGATAAAAACACATCCAGACACTGTATTCACATGTGAATCACATATTTTATAAGGGTTCCTGACAAACAGACAAAATCCAAAGAAGGAGAACCCCCGCAGTGAAGCACATCACATGAGGAACACACAAAGGGCTTCATGTTTACTTTAAAATGGGGTTTTGGAGACAAAATAGTTACCTCCATATATTTTATAGCTGTCCTTAAAAGTATAAAAACTGCCTGGCACTCAATACCCCAGCTTCATTCCAAAACACGATCAATCATTCATCTATTCAGCAATCATTTATTCCGCATCTCCTTAGAGTTAGGCCCTGTGTTCTGTGGGTATCTAGAGTGCACAGATAAGTAATGAAGACTCTAGAAGCAGAGCAGGTTAAACAAGCACACAAACAACCAAGTAATCATAATACGGGGAGCGTATGGGAGGCATCCTGTGAGCAGAACAAAGCTTACTTTGAAATTCAGAGTCAGGAGTCATCACGTCCCACTAGCAAGATCAGAAATGACACCATGAAGGAGATGGCACTGCATTGGGTTTCAAAGGTGTTTACTGGTTCTGTGAGGAGAAATACACTAAAGACTTATTCTGTAATAACTTACCCTGGGCTAGCATCACTGACTCCATCTTAGCTGTAAACTCCAGCCTAGCTTCCCCCTCCCTACCACAGCCCCTCTGAGTGCATAACTGGGTCATGCTGCACCTAGAAGCGTTGAAGTGTACTGTTCCTAACACTTGTAACCACTGTAACAGAATTCTACTTGGCATACCCCACCCCTGCTATTGTAAGAAAAACATTTCCCTTTGATCATTGTGTAGAAGGAGCCTGAACACCCCCTTCTTGGTGACACCTGTGCCCGCAGCCCCTTCCTCTAACCTGCTTTTCTGCTTCTGTAAAATTCCACTTCAGCTAGACTCCCCTTCCCATACCTAAATCAAGGTATAAAAGATAATCAAACCCCTTCCTCGGGGCCGAGAGAATTTTGAGCATTAGCCATCTCTCAGTTACTGGCTAATTAAAAAAGGACTCTGAATTTGGAACTCAGTGTGTGGCACATTCCTTCTAACTCGCTTGGTTACAACAATTTCAGGTGGAGAGGAAAAGAAGTGCAAATACTCAGAGGTGAGAAAAGAGCTAGAAAGCACAAAGGGACAGAGCCAAAGGACTGAAGAGTTCCAGCTGACCAACAATAGGCATAGACATCTCAGGTATTAGGAGATAAAGCTAGAACTTTACAGGCCAAACAGTGAAGAGCTTGCGTCTCAGACAGTGGAGAATGGCGAGGTGCAGGTATTATTAAAGTCTTTGGCATATAGAGTGCCATGTTTGTTTGACTCTTGGTATAGATCAGAGACAGACGCAGAGAGACAGGTTTGCACAATGGCTACTTAGAAGGAAATGTCTCGAAGCAGGAAAGAGGCAGGTAGTAGTGGAAATGGACATGAGGAAAAAACGCTGTGAGGTATTTCAGAAACTGAATCAACAGCACCCAAGACACTTACGGAAATACGGGAGTGGGTAGGGAGGGATGACGGAATGATCAAGTGTAAGGGATGTGGAAAGAGCAGAAACGCCTGCTGGAGGAGAAACTGACTCAGGGTCAGAGCGTCAGAGGAAGACAGTGTGGCTACCCTGGCAAGTGGCTAGGAAAGAACCCGGAGAATGTTCTTTTTTTTTTTTTTTTTTTTTTTGAGACGGAGTTTCGCTCTTGTTACCCAGGCTGGAGTGCAATGGCGCGATCTCGGCTCACCGCAACCTCCGCCTCCTGGGTTCAGACAATTCTCCTGCCTCAGCCTCCTGATTAGCTGGGATTACAGGCACGTGCCACCATGCCCAGCTAATTTTTTGTATTTTTAGTAGAGACGGGGTTTCACCATGTTGACCAGGATGGTCTCGATCTCCTGACCTCGTGATCCACCCGCCTCGGCCTCCCAAAGTGCTGGGATTACAGGCTTGAGCTACCGCGCCCGGCCCCGGAGAATGTTCTAACCCAAAGCCTTGCTGCAAGCACCTCTCAAACCTTCCCCAACTCATGATCACCTCCTCAGAAGCTACTTGATAAGGAAACACCTGAAATGACCAGGCAAGCACAGAGCCAATCCACCCTGGAGAAGCTCCCTGGCTACTCAAGGCGACCCTCCGTAAAGGCAAAGGCTGTTGCAGGGTTAGAGAAACGCCCCCTCCACCTTGAGATCCCCCAACAGGACATATGAAAAACTCCCTTGCGGTCTGAGCCTGCCACTCACTTCCCCGAAACCTTAAAAGATGATCCTCTCTGAGTCAACTCCTTCATTTATAAGATCTGTTAATAATGAGTTGTAAGATCTAATTTCATTTGTAAGATCTGATAATAAGAGATAATGAGTACACCACCCAGTTCACAGGTTTTAGTAGATTAAGTATGAGGAGACAGAATGTTGCAAAGCACATGAAGCAAAGGGTCATCAGAAGTTGAGAGAAGCTACAGCAAATTCCTGTGTGTATTCTGCATGGAGCTGCCTGTGGAAGGAGGGAGGGAGCAAGGTAGGCAAGAAACCACCACAGCCTGGGCACCACGGGCATCTAAGCGTTAGTTAAGGCATACTGCCTGCCAGATTTCAAGAACAGTCTGCTCCAGAGAAGTAGCAGGGTCCTTTAAAATGATCCAGGTCAACCTCCTTGTTTAACAGATGGGAGGCTTCGCCCCGAGGGAGGCCCAGTAACCAACAAAGATCTTAGTGCGTGACAGAGGGACCAGGGCTATGTCCAATAACCAGAATGTCTGTACAGTCACAGTGTACACAGTATTTCTACCCACATTATTTCACTTATCTTCACCAGTAGCCTTTGAGCTGCGTAAGAAAGTATTACTAAAATTCCTATTTTTCAACCTGAGGTTGAATGACTTGTCCAGGGAAGGATTTGAATCCAGGTGGCCATGCCCCCAGCCTGCTGCTCTTTCCCTATACCACAGTGGCACGCACCTGCTGGGTTTCAGCACAATCATTCCAGCTTTCATCATATTTCAAATTCCAAATTCAGTTTCATTAGCTTAGCTGGACACGGTGGCTCACGGCTGTAATCCCAACATTTTGGGAACCTGAGGTGGGCAGATCAGCTGAGGTCAGGAGTTTGAGACCAGCCTGACCAACATGGTGAAAACCTGTCTCTACTAAAAATACAAAATTAGCCGGGCATGGTGGTGCATGCCTGTAATCCCAGCTACGTGGGAGGCTGAGGCAGGGGAATCGCTTGAACCCGGGAGGTGGAGGTTGCAGTGAGCCGAGATCACGCTATTGCACTCCAGCCTGGGCGACAAGAGGGAAACTGCATCTCGGTGGGGGGGGGGGGGGGGGGGCAGGGAGGGAAGGTGTTTTTTCCTCTTATTTCTCACTGCCTTCAGCCATGTTTCACATTCAGCTTTACCTGGTAGGATCTGACTGGCCTTTTGTCTTAAAAGTTAAGTGTCCACGGCCGGGCGAGGTGGCTCACGCCTGTAATCCCAGCACTTTGGGAGGCCAAGGTGGGCGGATCACGAGTGCAGGAGATCGAGAGCATCCTGGCTAACAGTGAAACCCCATCTCTACTAAAAAATAAAAATTAAAATTAAAAATTAAAAAAAAAAGTTCAGTGTCCACATTTGGCACTAGAAACTTTTTTCTAAAACTGAATGATCAAAACTGGGACTTCCCATATAAATTATCTTTACAAAGTGTGTCCTCACAAGTGTATCATTTGAGATCTGCATGATTATGAAACAACATTTTTTTTTCCTTTTCTTTTCTTTTTTTCTTTTTCTTTTTTTGAGACATCACTCTTGTTGCTCAGGCTGGAGTGCAGCGGCATGATCTCGACTCACTGCAGTCCCTGCCTCCCGGTTGAAGCGATTCTCCTGCCTCAGCCTCCTGAGTTGCTGGGACTACAGGCATGCGCCACCCCGCCCGGCTATGAAGCAACATTTAACATGCAGACACCAAGACAGCAGCTTTAACAAATGTGTAGAAAACGAAGGCAAATAGTTCCTGGCTTTATCAATAAAAGCTGATTTGCATTCACGGGAGGACTTCTAAGTGCAGTCAGCAAGAGGGAAAATGATCCCCACAATTCCGGTCGCCCACATCCAAAGGTTCTAAAACTGAATGTGCGTCTTTATTGAGGGAGGTCCAGGGAAGGCGTAGGGGAGAGGAAAATGCTAAGAAAAAGCTGACTGGGGACTCTCTCCATGTCCTCTTTCCCTGTCTGTGGGGCCTGATGGTCCGTCACGACCCTTATTTCAGGAGTAAGGAAGGCATGTTTTGCTCCTCTTTTCAACTCAGGGAAGAGGACTAAAACTGCTCGGCCTCTCTGGCTTGCAGAGGTTTCTCAAGGGGATCATCAGGGGCGTCGTGATCCCTCCAGGCAGCACAAGTAACAGGCCCGGGGCCCGGCTGCGCAGGGCCCTCCCGTGAAACCTGCCTCTCCCCGCACTTTCTCATACACAAGCCGTCAGCGGCGTGGCAGTCATTTCTGCCGAAATGCACCGGCATTCGTTCCTCTCACGCCCTCTCCTTTCTCAGTAACCCCCAAACCAGAACCTAACTTCCCACCCACGCAACTCCCCCGTGCTAAGCAGCTGACGGATGCCAACAGCCCAGCAGCCCTGGGCGTGGGCCTCAGCGGACTCGGCAACCACCTGGCGAAGGCGCCTGCCTCGGACCCCGAAACCCCACCAGCGGCGCGCCCCAGGATGCTCCCCGCTGGGCGCCGCAGGCAGGACCCGGAGCGGCGAGGCCCAGACACGGCCCAGGACCAGGTCCCCACCCGCCATTCATACAACGCAGGAAAAATAAAAGCTTCGTTTACCGACATGCGTGGTCACTGCGGCCAGTCGCCGGCTGAGCTCCTGGGGGGACATTTCTTCTCTCAGGCAAGACCGCACATCACTGAAAATCCACTCCGTGCAAACAACGCCAAACTGGTCTGCCGCTGCGGTGGCTGATGTTTTCACGGCATCCCCGCCCGAGGATGCTCCGCCCGCGCCCTCTTCCTGCCTCTCCAGGCGCGAAAAGAGTCCCTCGCCGCCGAGCCCAGCTCACCCACGCCACGCCACGCGCCGGCTCCCGTGACAGACCGAGTCTGACGCTTTCCTAGCGTCCCAGCTGGACCGGGAGGGGAGCGGCCGCTCTGCAAAACGAAGCGAGTCGCCAGTCTGGCCAGGTGAGCGCCGCGGACTCCAGATTCGTGGTCCCAGCTGCTGGGTCTCCGGCGCCGCCTCCCGGGACTGTGGGTGAGGGAGACCCCGCCGTGCGCAGGGACGGCGGCAGGTGGTAGCGGCTCCTCCGCGTTGCCCGCCCCCCGGCCGCCACGCCCCGCGCCCCCGGCACCGCCCACGCCCCACGCCCACACGCCCCGGCGCCGCACGCCGCACGCCTCCCACGCCCCACGCGCCCCACGCCCCGCACGTCCCCCACGCCCCACGCCCCCCCCCGCGCCCCACGCCCCCCACGCCCCACGCCCCGCACGTCCCCCACGTCCGCACGCCCCACGCCCCGCACGTCCCCCACGCCCCGGCGCCGCACGCCCCCCACGCCCCACGCCCCCCCCACGCCCCGGCGCCGCACGCCCCACGCCCACCTCTTCCCGCCCGCGGGGGCACCTGAGGGGCTCTAGTGGAGTCGCGCAAGCGCAGCCCGTTTTGGGGTCGGGAACGCGGCGCCCCTTTCCCTGCGGGGAGTCCGCGCTCCAGCCCCCGGGGTGGGGGCTAGTAACGGTCCTTCCTCGGAACCGTGGGGCGGGGAGACAGCGACGGAGGCGCTGCAGCCGCTCCGGCGTTGGGATCCCCAGACGCGCGCCGGCCGGGTCTCCGCCCCTCCTTCCCCGCGCGGTGTCTGCGGAGGAGCCGCGGAGAGAAGCGGACTGACCCGGAGAGGTGCTGCCATGCCGCGGGACCCGGGGCACGAGGCTGGGTGAGGCTCCGCTGCAGGCCCCAGCTCCTGACCAGGGGGCGGCTGGCGTGTGTTTCCCCCCGCCCCGCACTGGGGTTGTCCCACGCGGTTCTTGGTCTCCGCTGGCCGCACCTGCGCTGGAGCCTGCGCGCGGGCTGCATCCGACAAGGCTGGGCACGCTGGGGCGCTCGCGGCTCCCCTGCGGGGGCCTCTTCCTCCGTGCAGCTGCGCCCTTGCCACCGCTCCGTCTATCACGAGTTGGGTGCGCCAGTGCTACCTTCTGGAGAGGCTGTGGTGCATCCTCCATGCCGGTCCTCCTCCCCATTAGCCCATTATCCTGTGGTTTCCCTGGGTGGGCCCAGACACTTTCTGACTGGCAGCAAAAGACTAACCCCAGTTCAGCAGAGCTCCACGGGAAACGCCTGAGCAAATGCGAATTCGGTCACGTTGTCCCCCAATCCTTTCTACAGCTGGAGTCCCTGAATACTCAGCCGGCAGAGTGCCGGGACCACCCATGCGGATGTTCTCAGCCATCTCTTTCCTCTTCGACATGTAAAAAGCCAAGCTGTGAACAATCTGGGTCCAAATTCTAGGAGTAGCCACCCATCCCAGGGGGTTGAGGACATTTTTTAATGCTTTCTGTAACAAGTGTGGGCTGTGGTTGAGAAATGACGTTTATCTGTGACATAAGATTTGTAAAAAGGTTCTTCCCCCTGTGAAGTTGGGCACTTTGCACTCTGTCTGCAAAGCAGAGCAAGGATTTTTTCCTTCCTTTTTTTATTTTATTTTTTATTTAGAGATGGGGTTTCACCATGTTGCCCAGGCTGGTCTCGAACTCCTGGGCTCAAGCGACCCGTCTGCCTCTGCCTCCCAGAGTGCTGAGATGACCTGCGTGAGCCATCATCCCCAGCCACAGAGCAACCATTTTCACAGCCACCTTTCGCAAGAGATTCAAAAAAGGGTTAAAAGGCTGGCTGTGGTGGCCCACACCTGTAATTCTAGCACTTTGGGAGGCTTAGGCAGGCGAATCACGAGGTCAGGAGTTCAACACCAGCCTGGCCAACGCAGTGTAACCCCGTCTCTACTAAAAATACAAAAATTAGCTGGGTATGGTGGCATGCACCTGTAATTCCAGCTACTCGAGAAGCTGAGGCAGGAGAACTGCTTGAATGGGAGGCAGAGGTTGCAGTGAGCCAAAACCGTGCCATTGCACTCCAGCCTGGCAACAGAGTGAGACTCCACCTCAGAAAAAAAGGGTTAAAGAACCACAGGAGAGGAGGCAGCTTTTGAAATATGTTTCCATGGTGGTTTCTGGCTATTGAAGGATCACAAGTGTTTTCAAGGAACCAAATGACATGTTTCCTGTTGAGAGTAGTCAGAACCCTGGTGCCCAGTCAGAGCCAATTGTGAGTTTTTGTCAGCAGAAACCAACACCTTGTAAAGAAGACAATGACGTGGGATATGCTGGGCTGGGAGTATCAGAGCCACTTCGAAGATCCGGTAACCTCAGCTCCCTGGCTTAGGCCAGGTCCTTACGGATGAGAATCATGAAAAGGAAGAAGAGAAGGAAAGGAGAAAAGAACAGAGGGAGGAGGAGCTTACAAATAAGAATGAGAACAAACAGAAAGAGATAGAAAGGAAATCACACAGTGCTAGTCACATCTTTGGTACTTTCACAGTCTTCAAAGGTTTCCATGTCAGATAACTGAGCTCATGTTACGGTGAGATGTAGCAGGCAGTGCCTATCCTTGGAAACTAATTCTGCTGTAATCTCTAACACTTGTTCTCTCAGGGCCTTCACTGCTTCCCCTGGACAGTAAGAAGGTAGCTCTGTGACCTCCAACTTCCCTTTTCCAGCTCTGAAATCCTATAACTAGAATTAAGAAATGACCAGCTGGGTGCAGTGGCTCATGCCTGTAATCCCAGCACTTTGGGAGGCCAAGGAGGGTGGTTCACCTGAGGTCAGGAGTTCGAAACCAGCCTGGCCAACATGGTGAAAACCTGTCTTTACTAAAAATACAAAAATTAGCCAAATGCAGTGGTGGGCACCTGTAATTACAACTACTTAGGAGGCTGAGGCAGGAGAATTGCTTGAACCCGGAAGGCAGAGGATGCAGTGAGCTGAGATCAGCCATTGCACTCCAGCCTGGGCAACAGGTGAGACTCCGTCTCAAAAAAAAAAAAAAAAAAAAAAAAAAAAGTCTTAAGAAATGACCAGATAGTGTTCAGTAGCCCAAACCTCCTTGTTCTTCCAAGAAAATGGTCATTGTCTCTATTGCTTTTGTGAATACTGACATCCTTTCTGTCTTCTTCCTTTCCACCCTCCCACCTTCCCTGCCTGCTTTTCTCCTTCCTAATTATGATCTATTATATTATGCCTATTTGTCCTGTGGTTTGAATGTGTTCCCAAAAGTTCATGTGTTGGATCCTCAGTGCAACAGCATTGAGAAAGAGGACCTTTAAGAGGCGATTAGGTCATGAGGGCTCCACCCTCATGAATGGATTATGCCATTATCTCAGAAGCGAGATCCTGATAAAAGGATGTGTTTGGTCGTCTTTTCTCTTCCTCTTACCCCTGTGATGCCTTCCACCATGTTATGATGCAGCATAACATCATAACATAGCAGCATAACATCATTGAAGGGCTGCTCTCACCAGGTGCAGCCCCTCAATCTTAGAACTCCCAGCCCCCAGAACCATGAGCCAAAGCAATTTCTGTTCATTATCAATTGCCCAGTCCATGGTTTTCTGTTACAGCAGCACAAAATAGACTAAGACATCTTGGCTGGCAAAATCAGAGAAACAAGCTGAAAAGGCCTGCTTCCTTCTCCAGTGAACCAATTAACAATCACTCCTACCTACTGAACATCTATTATGGTTGTGATAGGCAGTGTCAGGTACAGCAACTACCACCACCATATAGCAAGTGACTGTTCTATGTCTAGCATGGTGTTAGACATTTTACGAACACCATTGAGGTCTCACAACAGCACCCTGCCTCATTTGCAGGTGCCACTGTAAAGGACCAAACTGTGTAGTAAAAACCTAGACCATTCTCTGCCTTCCAGAAAGAACTGCCCAAGCTCCACCTCCCTGTAGCCTCCACCTCCCTGCAGCCTCCACCTCCCCGTGGGTGAATGGTCAGTGCAGCCTCTGACAAAGGAATGACAAAGGACCTACCTTGGAGAGCAGTGGCTGGCACTCCAGCCTCCTCAGCTCCTGGTGCCACAGGTCAGGGTAGAGATTCCTGGGCACCAAGAAGGCCCCCAGTTTTATCTACATCTGTGGTTCTCGAACTTTAGCAGCATCACCTGGGAGTAGAAGTCATTTTTACTAAAACACAGATTTCTGGGCCCCGCCTCCAGGATTCTGATTTAGTAGTCTGGAATGGTACTCAAGAATCTTCATTTCTAACAAGTCCCCAGGAAAATTGATGTTACTAAAGTCCTGGGATTACCCTTTGAGCACCACTGTCCTAGACTATAGCTCTTCAAACTTCTTAGATTGCAAATCTTAGTATGATTGTGCTATGGGGAAGAGATTTGGTCTTTGCCCCAAGGTCCTGGCATATAGCTCCTAAATCTCAGGAATTTCCTGATCGATAGTGTGATAAGAGTGTCTTTGGTTCTAATGAAGAGACTCTTAGCAGATCCCTAGATAGCTTCAGAACACAGCCTGGTCACCAGAAAGACCAAGCCTTTGTAGAAGGTTGGAACTCTCAGCCTTATCCCCCAGCCTCTAGGAAGGGGAAAAGTGCTGGAGGTTGAGTTAATGACAAGGGCCAATGATGTAATCAATCATGCTTACAGAGCAGAGCCTCTGTAAAAATCCCTAAATGAGGCCAGACACGTGGCTCACGCCTATAAATCCCAGCACTTTGGAAGGACAGGGAAGGCAGATCTGTTGAGCTCAGGAATTTGAGACTAGCCAGGTAACACGGCGAAACGCCATCTTTACAAAAAAATCAAAAAATTAGCCAGGCATGGTGGCCACACTCCTGTAGTTTCAACTACTTGGGGGGCTGAGGAGAATCTTTTGAACCCAGGAGGTTGAGGCTGCAGTGATCTGACATCACACCACGGCCTTCCAGCCTGTGTGACAAAATGAGATCCTGTCTCAAAATAATAATAATAATAATAAATCCCTAAATGATGGTGTCTGTGAGCTTCTGGATTGGTGAACGTATCCAGTGCCGGGAGGGTGGTACCCCTGGAGAGGGCACAGAAGCTTTGCGTACCACGACCTCCCACACTTTGCCCTACGTACTTCTTCCATTTGGTTTTCGTGAGTTGTATCCCTTATAGTAAACTGGTGACAATAAATAAAGCACTTTCCTGAGTTCTATGAGTCATTCTAGCAAATTACCAAGCTAGAGGAGGAAGCCAGGGGAACTCTATATTTGTAGCCAACCGGAAGTATGGAAGGCTGAGGATTTGTAATTGGTGTCTGAATTAAGGGGCAGTCTTCTGGGACTGTGCCCTTAACCTGTGGTGTCTATTCTAACTCCAGCTAGTTAAACTACATTTGAATTGAATTGCTGGACACCCACTTGGTGCTGGAGACTGAAAAGTGGCATTGGAAAAGATCCCACTTCACAGATGATTGAATAGACAGACCTAAGAAGTGACATGTTACTTGAGCCCACGCCATCCTAACAGCCATTCCACTGCCATCTTTCTGTTTTCTGAAATCAGCCTGCCACCCTGGCGTCGGGGAGGAGTGTGCACGCATGTGCATACATGGTCTGAAATCAGCCTGCCACTCTGGCGTCGGAGTGGAGTGTGCATGAATGTGCGCACGTGGTCTGAAATCAGCCTGCCACCCTGGCGTCGGAGTGGAGTGTGCACGCATGTGCACACGTGAGGGTGGGCTGCACATCTGCCTCTACCTCTGCACCTGCCGCGCTCCCTTCCCATGTGTTTCCCATGTGGTTTTCTCTCATCCCACGAGTGACTTGATTGCAACACACACTGAATTTCCAAACTTGAAAAGTTCTACAATTAAAGTGAGCACATTGGGAAGAATGGGATCCCGAAAGCTGGAATGAAGGACACATGGGAAAACCCTGATGGAGCTGAGGACATTTTGGCCCGAAATTCTTAGGAGTATTCTTTGGCAGTACAAGTATCCTGCTCACTGCCATCTGAGGGGATTGACCCTGCATTGCCAGAGGAAACGGTGATGGCCTCCCCTGGGGCAGTTGCCTTTGCAGGACAATGCAGATTCTCTTCAGGATCCACCCACACCACCCTTCTTTGCTTCTAGACCTATAC